CCTCACCAGTACCACTCTGGAGGTACTTGTACTGCTCCTTTGTGTTCTCTGTGTAGTTTCCTTTAAGCACAAACCTCGTTGATCAGTGACGTTCGTGATCGTTTGAGATTTAACGTGTTGAACATCAGAGAAAGTCTTACAGTCAGAGTTGTGATGGTTTGGTTAAAACTCTCCCAAACACATGAATACACCAGAGAAGTATTTTGTACACACAAATGTAGTAAAGATTGTACAATAGAAATACTGAAGTCAGAAGAAAGTATGTACTACAACCAACAACCAGACTGTATACAATGTCCTCACTATTTTATCTATTTAACTATGAATCTATAATTTCTATAAATATGAACTCCCTACTTTTAAGCAACTTGATCTGATCTTTACTGTTAACCTTGTTTATAGTTTTGCACTCTTTCCTACTTTGTTCCTCAGCAGCTGCACAACGTTTTCTTCTGAGATAAATAAAGTTGAATCTCATTTCATTTCTTGTTTCAGGCGGGTACTAAATCCTTTCTATGTCAAATTATTATTATTATTTTTTGGCTTAAAACATTAAATTCTGAGACATTTATTCTGAATAATATTAGACTCAGTGTACTCTGCATTTAAACTCCTCTTTGTGTCATTAAACCCACAAATACTCTGAAATATGACCAAGAACATAATCTCAGTTTCCTCAATCACAGCAACAGAAAGTTCTACTTTATTTCTTAATAATTTTGCAACATGAAAGTACAAATACCACAATGTATAAATACTATGCATGTAATACTATGTCACTTATATTCTGAGAAGTTGTGTTTGGAGTTTAATGCTACTTTTTGACATTTTACAGACTAATCAATTAATGCAGAAAAACATCTGGCAGATGAATCCAGAATGAAAATAAACGCCAGATGTAGTTATTTTGTAAGAAAATATGTGAAACTGTTCTACGATTTCAAAGATACGTTTTTGTCTGTATACCATGAAGAAACACTAATACAGCTGTTTCTTTGCTGGAGTGTCAACACAAGACACCCAGTTCATAAAATACTGCAAATATATAAATACTGCAATACCGGATAGAAAGAGACTAAAGGGACATTTATTCAAATGAAAATCGACCAGTTTGCCACTTAAACATGTCAACATGAAGGCCTCGTGATCACCCAATTAAACAATATCTTCCTTTTGACATAATCGATTACAAACAGCTTCCCTCACGAGACAAAACTCACATAATTAGAATCATTAAAACTTCTGGAAGTTTAATTAAGACTCATAAATTAAATGACCTGAACGTTCTTAAATCAACAGCAGAATAAAACTACACTCACCTGTCTGACGTCATCTATTGGAGAGATCCTGTGAGTCTCGTGCACCGCGAGGTCCTCCTCAATCTGCACGAGCTTCAACTTCTCTGCTTATTTCCCCCCCCCGTGCATAAAACCAGTCCTCTCTCTTCTGACCCAGCACAAACTAAAGTCCACCAGTCCGCCTGGTCCCTCAGGCCCCTCTGGTCCTCACGCGCCTCACTGAAGGTGAACTACTCCAGCAGAACTCACCTGAGCACGTTAGCATGTTAGCACCACACCCCAGCATGCACCTGTTGATGATGCAGCATCTTAGGTGTGTTTCATTTGTCTCACCTGGCGTGCGGGCGGGGTGGTGCACTAAATCCCTGATTCATTCTAGATGTCACTATTACATCACATATTCCAAAAGGCAATACTTGGGATAATAAACATAATTAGCTATATTTAAAATATACTCAATAAATACAAGTATGCAAGCAAATAAATATAAAAAATAGTTACTTTAAAATCACAGACTTTTTGAACTAAAAATGTACTTAAGTACAGTATATATATTAGAGATATATTCTATTGTTTGATCATTAGTATTGATGTATATTATATATAAATGTAGTGGAGTAAAAGAACACTTAGAGGTATAAAGTATCATAAATATAACTACTTGAGTTAAGTACAAGTACCTTTAAAATGTACTTGAGTGCAGAGATACTTTCAGGATGAAAACACATCAGATGACCTGTAAACTTTTAATAATTATTTTATTTTAGCGATCTGATTTCACAGAGACATAAACAAATAAAACACTTCATAGATTCCAATTTAAATATATTCAAACTATACAATCAGTTACAAGCAGACACACACACACACACACACACACACGTAAACCACATTATTGCACAGCACCCTGTTGCATTAGAGCTTCACAGCAGTACCTGTGCCAAGTTCCTGATATTCCTTATTGATCCTATTAGGATACGATGAGTACAATCAATACGGTTCTGACAGAATATCACAGTACTGATCACCGTGTCAGTAGTACTGAGGGTAAGCGGCGAAGGACCCCATGAGGGGGGTCGTGGACATGACTCCTGGGAGGCTGCTGTACTGGTAGAACGAGTCCAGCGGCAGAGAGGAGCCGTACTGGAGGCCGTGTGGATGGACGTCCTGAGCTGCTGCTGCTGAGTGGTATCTGGGGTAAGGACCCGGCCTGTAGGCCTGCAGCTCGGGGTAATGCAGGAACTGAGAGGCCATGTTAGCGTTAGCATGGCAGGCGTGAGCCAGGGCGTCCTGCACCGTCCGCTTCAGCTTCATCCGCCGGTTCTGGAACCAGTTTCTGATCTGAGAAGAAGAAGAGAAGAAGAAGAAAAGGTCTCATGAGGAAAAGTTATTTTAATACAGAATATTAACATTTCTCTCTCTTAGTGAACATCAGGGAATGCTTTTATATACATATACATATATATATATATATATATATATATATAAACTACAACTAAAGTTTGAAATATTAGCTACATAACCCCCTAATAATAACATAAATAAATAAAATATTAAAATTTAAAATAATTAATTTCATAAAATGAAACAAAGAGTAAATGTAAAAAAAAAAAAAAATAGAAAAATATTTAAATAAAACAAATAAGTGAATAAATAAATAAAATTAAAATAAAAACACATAAAGATAAAAAATCTTGAAAATGTTTTAATTACATTATTATATTTTATTTGTATGTATGCAGTTATCCAGGTAATTTAAAACTATTTACTCACACTGACAGGAATCATATTTATGTTTTGAGTCTTAAAATACTGGAATAAGCTGATAGAATACTGATGACCACACACTGATGACCACACACTGATGACCTCATATAGATGACCACACACTGATGACCTCATATAGATGACCACACACTGATGACCACACACTGATGACCTCATATAGATGACCACATACTGATGACCACACACTGATGAGAGCTGTGTACCTGTTTGTCGGACAGGTTGAGCTTCTTGCAGAGCTCGGCCTTGTCTTGCGTTCCCAGGTACGCGTTCCTCTTGAAGGACTTCTCCAGGCTGCTGATCTGCTCCGCCGTGAAGGCCGTGCGAGGCCTCCTCCCCAGTGGGGGAGACGGCGGGGAGGTGGAGGTGGAGTCGGTGGGGGCCGGGGGGGAGAGGGAGCGACCCCCTTCACTCTCGTAGCCGGAGGTCTCCTCCTCCGTCCCGCTGCTGAATCCTGCTTCAGTCACTGCAGAGAGGAACCAAGAGGAACCAAGATTAGCCAAGAGGAACCAAGAGGAGCCAAGAGGAGCCAAGAGGAACCAAGAGGAGCCAAGAGGAACCAAGAGGAACCAAGAGGAACCAAGAGGAGCCAAGAGGAACCAAGAGGAACCAAGAGGAACTCATGTTAGACCCAACCATCAAAGTATTCAGACCCTTTACTGCAGGAAAAGTACTTATACTACACTGTAAAAATACTCCACTACAAGTACAAGTACAAGAATGTCCCCTGTGAGTGTTGTACTATTATTATATATTATATATTCTATCATTAGATTATTATGACTCATGCATTCATGTAAAAAGATTTACTAAAACTATTAACGAATGCTTATTTTCATTATAGATTCATCTGCTGATTATTTTCTCCATTAATCGATTGATTGGTTTGTAAAAATAGTTAAAAATGCCCAAAGTAACACATTGACAATGTTTATTTAGTTATTAAAAATACATTTAACTTATTAAAAAGATAAGATCATTTTTTAGTTCAAATAAACATTTATCACAATTTTCTGTCAATTGATTTATTGATGTATCGTCTGATGGGTTCAGCTGTAAACTGTTAAATAGTTTAATTTATAACAAAACATCATATTTTATAAGTTCTTTCAATGTTTTATATGCAAAAATAACCTTGAAGTCACAAAAGCTGTGAGATAAAAAAGTACAATATTTCACTCTGAGACGTAGAAGTAACTCATATTAAAGTACAACACATATGTATTTAATTACAGTACTTTAGTAAATGTACCTCCAATAAAAGCATTCAAAATGTAATATTTGAATTTGATACTTATTTGATAAAAAGCAGGTTAAAGTGTTGCAAAGTTATGTATTTTATAAGCTGATGATACAGTTTGTGCATAAAGTATCATTTGTAAAGTAACTATTTTCAGATAAATGTTAAATAAAAGTGCAGTATTTGCCCTGAATTGTAGAGGAATAAGTTTATAAAGTTTATAAAGTGTACTAAAGTAGAAGTAAAGTAGAAGTACTGAACATACCTCGACTATCACAGGTTTGCTGCTGCAGACTGAACGCGTCGAGGCTCCTGGTTTCTTGCTGCTTTGGGGAACTTTCTGACTTCTGTCTGCAGTAGAAACCCGGCAGACTCTCTGAGTGAGTCCCACAGGCGGCGGGTCCTGGTCCAGAGGACGAGCCGGTCTCCGTCCCTGCAGGCTGGCTGCTCTGAGACATCCACTCGATAGAGAAATGTCCCCTCATGGTGACGTTTTGTCCTGAAAAAGGTCAAAAAAAGAGTATATCCTTGTTTAAAAGAAAAAGCAGATTCAGCAGGAGGAAGATGAGCTGGTCTAAGCTGGTCCTGGTCCTGGGGGAGTTTTGAATGCCCCCCTTTTCACAGCTTGTCTGTATTTATAGGAGGCATCAAACTCCCTCAGCCCCCAAGATCAAAGCACGCATCCTCCCTCCTCCCTCCTCCCTCCTTCCCTCCTTTAGTTTTCACAACTGGAGTAATTAAGACGTCTCATTCAGTCTCAATGAGGCTGTTACAACAAGGCTCCAGTGAGTCTGGAGAGGACCCCCCCCTCCTCCTCCTCCTTCCTGCCCCCCAAATAAAAGATAATAGACACACCTCGCCCCAAACTGTCTGCATCTCCTCCACAAACCCTCCACACTGTAAATAAATCATATCCCTCACTCTGACAGTTTGAACAAACAATAAATAATAAATAGAGCAAAAATAAATAAATTATGAATAAAATTCACATTAAAATCTGTCAAAAATCCAGATTCAGAAGATCAATAATATAGAATATTTATCTTCTTTTATTTACAGACAATTCTCCTGAAAATGATCAAACGCTGAATCAGCAAAATACAAACATGATTTATTTACTCTGTTACACAGATATTTATCAATATTTATCAAAAAGTATCATCAAATCATCATTAAATGTGTTTAAACATTTGAATTACTCAAATTCAAAAGCACAAGAATCTGTTTGAATAAAAGCACTTCACATGTGAACAGTGTTAGTTTTATTTCTGACATTTCTCTGACGTATGAATATAAACACTATGGTGAATAACTTTTTCATCATGTGACATTGAACTCATGAGCAGAATCAATATTTAGATCACAAAATATGAAGTTCAATTCTCTTTTAAAGCAGCTCTGTGTTCTGTTCAATGTGTTTTTCATAGAAAACAAGAACAACTGGACACAAATGTTTCGCTTAAAGTTTCTAAGATACAAATATTTGGAGCTTTTCTTTGTTTTCTGTGTTTGTAAATGTGGACTGTTGTCTGACAGAGAGAAACTGATATTTTAAAGACCAAAAGATGAATTTATTCATTAATAAAACATCTGCAGACGTCACAATGAGCTTTGTGAGATGATAACGAGGGTTTTTTCTCTACTTTTTGCAGATTCATTGATAATAAAATAATGTTTCTTTTCTTTCAGACCTTAATCAAACATTGATGTTCCTCAAGTGTTCCTCTGATGATCATCTGCTCCGTTTACAGATGCTACGTAAAACAGGAAGCTGAAAGGAGACAATAAGTGAGACAATGAGCAGTGAGTGGATCAATGTACCAGATCATCCAGAGGATGATCCCAGAGGATGATCCCAGAGGATGATCCCAGAGGATGATCCCAGAGGATGATCCCAGTGGATGATCCCAGTGGATGATCCCAGGTGATGATCCCAGAGGATGATCCCAGAGGATGATCCCAGGTGATGATCCCAGAGGATGATCCCAGTGGATGATCCCAGTGGATGATCCCAGAGGATGATCCCAGTGGATGATCCCAGGTGATGATCCCAGGTGATGATCCCAGTGGATGATCCCAGGTGATGATCCCAGAGGATGATCCCTGGTGATAATCCCAGAGGATGATCCCAGGTGATGATCCCAGAGGATGATCCCAGTGGATGATCCCTGGTGATGATCCCAGAGGATGATCCCAGTGGATGATCCCAGGTGATGATCCCAGTGGATGATCCCAGTGGATGATCCCTGGTGATGATCCAGAGGATGATCCCAGAGGATGATCCCAGTGGATGATCCCAGTGGATGATCCCTGGTGATGATCCAGAGGATGATCCCAGTGGATGATCCCAGTGGATGATCCCAGTGGATGATCCCAGGTGATTAAAGACAGTCTCTGATATAACGAGAGATTTAACGTTGTGTTCTCTTTGTTTTTATTGATCAGGATTTAAGTAAAGGATCCATCAACGATCAATAATCACAAGAAATGTATCTGATTCTACTCGTGTCATATTATTACCAAGAAACAGACATTAATATATAATAAATAAATATAAAGTACTCAAGACACTAGTATAAACTCACATTTAAATATCAGATCCTGCTCTTCAGCAAAAGTAAAAATAATACATTTTTATCTCTGTTACAAGTATTTTATTCAAAAGTATTTACAGCTTAAAGTACTTAAAGTACCAAAAGTACTTGTTATGGAGCCAGAATGTGCTCTGAAATGTAATGGAGTAGAAGTACAAGCATCTTAAAATGAAAATGTTCAAGTTACAAACAAGTACTTTAGTAGTACTTTCTATTCATGCAAATAAATACCTTTTAACAGGACAAAGTACCCATGACTCACAGGGATATTATAAAAGTCTGATATATAAATATAATATGAAATAAAGATAAATCCTACAAAATATCACAAGATTACTACAAACCAGTGTATTCAGTTAATTTACTTAAGTATAAGTACCTCATATATACATAATGGGGATCATCTATTTGAGGCTTTCTGCCTGATAACGACCTGAAGACGATGATCCAGACCTGTGAAGTGGTTCATATCATCATCTTCATCACCAGCAGCAGCCTGGATGGACCCGATACTGAGGAGGAAGAGGAGGAAGAAGACAGGCGCTGTTCTGTGTGCAAATGGAGCGAAACAAACACATCGTGTCTTTAAATGGTTAATCAGGTCAAACATGAAACAGAGCTTTTGATTAGATAAAGAGAGGAGAGAGGAGAGAGGAGAGGAGAGGAGAGGAGAGGAGAGAGGAGAGAGCGGAGGAGAGGAGAGAGGAGAGAGGAGAGGAGAGGAGAGGAGAGGAGAGAGGAGAGAGGAGAGAGCGGAGGAGAGGAGAGAGGAGAGAGGGGAGGAGAGAGGAGAGAGGAGAGAGGAGAGGAGAGGAGAGGAGAGGAGAGAGGAGAGAGCGGAGGAGAGGAGAGAGGAGAGAGGGGAGGAGAGAGGAGAGAGGAGAGAGGAGAGGAGAGGAGAGAGGAGAGAGGAGAGGAGAGAGGAAATTAAATAAAATGTTTGTTTACGTTCAGCTCATCGCTATGGAGACAAACAGCTGGAGCTAATACTAACATATAAACTACGACCAATAACCACAACAATAGAAGAAGAAGACAAACCAGCGTATTCACATCATTTACTGAAGTACAAGTACTACCACAGCGGTATAAAAATACACCAAGTCCTGCTTCGAAAATGTTGCCAAAGTAAAAGTACTTACTTCAGAAAAATGTCCCCTTTATGAGAAAAGTATTATTAAATGAGATATCATTAGATTAAAGTAGAATTTACTTCCATCTGAGATGTAGTTGAGTAAAAGTATGAAGTAGCATGAAATGGGAGTACTCAAGTAAAAAACAAGTACATAAAACTATACTCCAACAATACTTAGTGAACTTAGTTGCTTTCCACATCTGTAAATAAATATATTTCAGTCGGCTCCTTGTAAAATACATAAAAACACGACGGATGCAAGACAGAAATACCACCTTAGTGGTGTAAGAAGTACTCAGGTCCTTCACTAAAGTAAAAGTACCTGATATATACATGTTAGTGATAGTACTCAGATAAAGTAGAAGTACCCGATATATACATGTTAGTGATAGTACTCAGATAAAGTAAA